GTAGAAATGGAAAAGTTTTTCCTTTTTTTTTGCAGCGCGCGCAGAGCACGGCGCGCAATTTTTTATCATTAACGAGATTTCAGCGTTAGAGCGATAGTTTCGATGAAGTTTCGTGGCTGGAAGTACCAAGTTTACTTTTCACGGAGAATGTAAATTTAACTTTGCAAAAAAAAAGTTTGGTTAAATCGATTGTTGATTATCAATTTTTCATTTACGCGAGATTTTTCATTTCATACGCTGCAGCCGCATCTTATTTCGTTCGAGTTATGCCGAACAAAGAAAGAGTTCTGAAGTAAATTCGGCCAAAAGTTCATTGAGAGGGAAAATTCGAGCACGTTGCTTACTACGTCATCATAATATAATACACAATATTTACTTTGCTTCAAAGCAGCAAAATTATACGTGGTCAATTTTATCAAAGGTTCAAAACTCATGTACTACGAGTCTCGTACAGACAATGGAATCATTTTTTTCTTCGTGTAGCTTTCTTACTTTTGCGATAAAAAAAAGTGACGAAAAACTTAGACACGCCCCACGGCTTTTACGTCTTGTGTCTGTAAAGGCATGCATTTCTGCTTAGGAATAATAATAGTAAAAAAGAGCATCAAGTCGCGAGAGATAAAACGGGTAACATCAGAGAGAAGTCGTCTTTGAGGATGAATTACGTATGTACCCAGACACGCCGAGGTAAAAAGCTACTAAAGATTGACAAATATTGAGAGGCGTCTTTTGAGTTTACCAAAAAGGTCGAAATTGTTATTACTCAAACGCGACGAAAAAAGTAAGCTCTCGACTAACGACTCATAAAATAACATATCTTCTTGCAACTAAACTATATATCTGAATAAAAAAAAGCTTAATGCAGGAAAGGAGGGGGGGGGGGGGNNNNGGGGGGGGGGGGGGGGGCGACGACTGAACGAGGCAAATAGAAAACAGAGCCACGTCTGAATGGTGTACATGGCAAGTGGAGGAGTGTTGAAGTATCGCAGGTACATAAAAGCATCATTGAAGGATTGTAAGTGGAAAGCAAAGATTTAACATGGGAATAAGACGATTATAGACTTGGCTTAGCGCTGTCTGCGCAGCGGCGTGTTGTACTATACGTATAGGGCATGGTACTATATACCTCGGCGCGCCACTCGACAGATACGCTTCTCTCTCACTCAAGACTCTATCTTTCACCGAACATTTAACAGCGAGGCAAAAATGCAACGGGAATAAAGTATAAAAAGGTATATAGAAACGAGCACCCTTCGCCACCGCGTGGTAACTAGACAACAAAATGATAATCGTCCGAAAGAGGCTTTACTCGTCGCGCGCGCTGATGTCGAATTACGTGTATAGCAGAGCAGCGCCAAGCCCGGGGAGCTCCGCGCAGCCTCTTATCGAGCTTTTTCGAGTGCTCCACTCTCTCTCTCTCTTCCCGATCTCTGCGCTCTCTTTCTTCCAGCTTAGAGCATTCATTTATTTGTAAAGTAATCCACGTTACTCGTGTTTTTGTGCTCGCGTCTCGCAGCGGCTCCTACAGCCGAGAAATCTTTGGTTAATGCGTACGTATTCAAGCGCGTGGAACGTAGAAAAAAAAGTCGAGCTTTTTTATATACATCATCATCATCATACATGAAGTAGGCTTCACTGAAGTTTTGACAATATGATGTATACGCGCTGAACTTATATAACGATCGTGCGTAAGTAAGGATAATTTTGTAGATAAAATAAATGTAGATTATTTTTATTTCGTTCTCTCACATGCCGCGGACAGAGTGACGCCTGTCGTGACGTTGTGCCCCGCTCCTGCATGTCCTATATACGCAACGAATTGATATAACAGCCCGTCGATTTTCAATCGTCGACAATTGTTGGCGTCCTAAACAACGCGAAAAGCGAATTTATCTCATTGATATTCCTGTCCACGCGAACGGCCGATGCAAAAACGACGACAACGGGGAAAAAAAAGAAGAATTTCCGTCGCTGCATATACATTTCGAATCGTGCCCATCTATTTCTCGTTTCGAGAGGATCTCGTCGGATCGTTCGCGCTTCGAATGCGATAAATTGAATTTAAACAATAAATATTTTTTTGTTTATATCCCGTTGAATGAAAAGTATAAATCTCAAAGATGGCTTTGATCTTGTTTCAAAAAATCTATATCGAGATTTTTGAGACTTCTCTTTTCTTTTTGTTAAACGTACAATACGCTTCGAGAGCAATTTTATTCTTTTGATTTTACTGCCTGTATAATATAGCAGTGTGATTCGTTCTCTCACTCACTTCCATTTCTTCGTCGATGCTGAAATTATCATAATCGGCCTGTCACATTTTTCTTTCATCTTTCGCTGCAAATGACGCTTTTTCCATCTACTTAAACTAGCTGGTGCTCTTCAATGCGCCGCTTCGAGGAAGCCGGGTCTGCGGTAATTTTTTCACGCATCCGCGCAAAAGACGCGCATTTATTTCTAGGTCGATACTTTATTAACGTTTGAAAATCCACATCAACGTGCCATCGGGGCTTTCATACAAAGTGCGCCGTACAAATTTATTTCGTCGTTTCATTTCTAATGTCGTGCAAAATATAAATGAGTCGATCATTTTAACTGGAAAACAAATTGAATGAATTTACTGACCGATATCCGGGCACCAAATAAAATCAAGGTAAAAGCGCGCGCCGGACTAGCGTTATCGATTCAAACGCTCTTCTTTCCGTGTATAGAAAAGATATCGGTTACCTTTGCGGAAGCCTATCTCAATGCGGAGGCAGAGGTTGGCTGCACAGAAAAACGCCATCGTCGGATCTTCAATCAGCGATCACTGGGTAATCGATACACGAGAGCGAAAAAAAAAGAAGCGGCTTTGGCGTGCAGCAAGTAAAGTGACTCCAAATAGATGCGGCTTTACAGAAAGCACTTTAGTAGCAAAATCGTGACTGCATCGTACACGGCGAGGAAATGAAGAGAAAAAAAAGAGGAAGAAAGAGGTGTGTAGTCGTAGCAACGGTCGAGTGTTTTCGAAGGGGGCACAAAAATACGAATCATTTCCAATTCAAATTCACGCGAATTAAAATGATGAAATGAAAATTGACTCTCCGTCCGAGCTAATCCGAAGATTTTGTTTCGAACGAATCACAGACGTTAAAAAAATTTTACAACGAGTGCTATCTCTGCCCTGGGATAAAAAAAAAATAACTAGGCCAAAGAAAAACTTTTTTCGAAGAAAACAAACAAGCTTTGCTCTGCACAGTATACATGTCTGAAGAAAAATATACACTCGGCACGCAGCTGAAAGAGAGACTTTGCTTTCAGGCGATTGAGTAAAAGCGTGTCAAACGTGACACTCTCTCCCTCTCATTGATTTCTAATTCAAACGTGCTTGCGACCCGGAGCTATAAATACACACACATACTGGCATTTGTACACCTTCGTGCACTGCGGGGGTATTTTTTTTTTACCTCCCTGTCTATAAGATCAATTGAAGCCATACACGAGTAGCTTGTTTAAACGCGAGTTTCATTTCGCGATGGTTTGATTAGCCTCGTATGCATGGCATACACACACACACACACACACGAGCTGCTGATATGCATTTGTATATCGTAATGAAAAGCACCCCAGTGATCGTACCCACGAGCTTAGTACTATTGCTCTCTATGCATCGGGTTTGTAATGAAATTCAACCTGCTCAATTAAATTCTGTCGAAAGTGCAATTAATATGCATACGCGTGTCGATGTCGCACAGGCTGTGTTGGCATTCCAGCGTCGCGTGGATACGTTTAATTTTGGACTTTATATCGATAATTATCAAATAGATTCGAGTCTTTCTTTCAGGAAAAAATGAGCAAAAATTCGATTATTCGATTTTGCAAAATGAAATAATTTTACATTTCAAGCTACATTATTTTCATTCCGAAATTCTTATCGTTCGAAGATACGAGAAGACTGTCAATTATCGAAAGAAGAAATTTCGAAGTGGAATTTATCTCAGATTTTTATTGAAATTTACTGACAGTGGCCTATTGCATTAATGTAGAGGGGCATATAGGTAATGGATCAGAAATGCTGGTACCTGCCTCGCGGGTAAAAGTTTTTCGAGAATTATAGTTTTCCAAAGAAAATAGATCGCACGAGAAATGACTTATGTATAAAGTTAACTTTTTGATATATAACTGATGTAATTAAGATGATTTACGACTGCAGCAGGAGCAATCTTGTTCGGCCCAAGTTCAACAACATTATATAGGCCGTGTATTATCAATGAAGTATATATTTTTCTATACAGAGTATAAATGCATCAAAACATTTGAAACATTTCGAGACTACTAATATACGATGTTCAACGAATTTCTACGATCTAATTCAACTTACAACTATATAAGCAAAAGCGAAGCATTTAAAACAATGTATACGCGGGCTATAGTTCGGGCTCGAACCGTAACAACAAAAGCTAATGAAAAGAGGAAACGGAGGTATTGCGCTCGGCCGTAACTTTCGGCGTCATGGGTGTCACATGCGCGAGAAGAAATGGCTCTATATACTATTCCGCCGCAGCAGCGGCAGCACACACGGCCGGTGCGAGAAAATGGACGAATACGTACACGAACCAAGGCTCATTTATTTTCTCGTTGTTCTTCAACTACTACACAGTTTGTAAGCGAACGTCGCTCTCTCTCTCTCTCTTTCTCTCTGTTTCTGCGAGTCGATTTGCATAATTATTCCGCACGTGGAGAGGAGAGTCGGAACCTATATATACCTACGAGTGCGCAGCACACGTGTCGCCGCGCCTGACCACTGGCCGACCGTTACCACTGATCAAGTTGTCGCGCGGTATATTTTTCAGCGGCCCATTTTTCAGCTCCTCCACTTTATAAATAATTCCGTTCCTGGCGTGATTTCCTATTTATTTTACTTTCCAATGCTTCGATCTTCAAAGAGAGCTTGCTACAATTGCTAATGCGTATACTGAGGTTTGCAGGTTAATAAATACTGACGTAGCGTTGAACGTAGGTTTATCTTAATAAATAAAACTATTTATTTAATCTATCATTATTCATAAATTCAAGTACCTATAGACTACAGTATAGATATACAAAATCACAGCTAATATCATAAGAAGTTCTTTCATCTTTGCAACTTCAGTCGAATTCTGCTTAATACATTAAGGCGTGTACGCTAATATTTACATAATAACCATGCTAATATTCATAACTGTAATCAATCGATCAACGTGTCGAGGTTGAAGAACTTGCACGTGCAGCACTTGGAGAAGGGCTTGAAGCACATGTCGCAGAAATTGTTGTCCTCCGGATTGTGCACCCAATTGATGTGGTAGGCGATGATCTCCTTGTTGTGAAACGTCATGTGACACATATCGCATATGTAAATTTTTCTCGGCAACTTCGCTTTGCTCGAGAATCCATTTTTGATCTCGTTCCCGTTGATGTCGAGCATCCGGTGCTGGCGATGATCGTCGTCGTCGCGCGCCGAATTGCCGTAATTCACGCCGCTGGTAGCCGTTCCCTGCTCGCCGTTGCTTTTGAATTTAAAATCTTTAATGGACTGGTTGTCGTTCGTCGTGTCTTGAAAGTCTACGTCGCGTGTTCCGTAAAAAGATGTTCCATTGGAAGCACATTCTGTGATTCCACACTTGGACGATTTTTTAACGATCGAGTCCTCGAGAGAATCGGACCCGGAATCGGAGTCGGACTGTAAATTAATCGTAAATAAATACAACGAATTGCTAATTTTTTGCTCTCTCTTAACTTACGTTGTTTTGATTAATCTCCATGTTTGTTCGAGGACGAAGAAAACAAATCGATAGAGTAGATATCAAAGAACGTGTTGAAATTTCGTCACGTCAAAATGGGTCTCGCAAGGCTTATTTATTGCCCTTTATTCTTACGGAATAACTTCTCTGACTTGAGTCGTGCAAAAAATTTTATAACTTATTTTTGTCGCGAACGTAAAATTTCAAAAATGTTATCAGAGTTTTCGTGAATCAAGCACAGACGTGAAACTAGTTTCACTTATTCGAACGAACTGACTTGATGGTATTTATAAATCGGCGTAACGTAGATGTATTACGAAAATGTAAACAATACCGAGATCTCTCGCGAGACGAGCTGCTGCTGCTGCTGCTCGTCAACTGTCGTCGCTAATTCATTGCCTTCGAGCATAATCGAAAACGAATATCTTTCTAATATTGAATCTAATATTGGAAGTATAAAAAATTAATGCAAATTCATGGTAACAACGTCAGAGTTATAGATTTGGCTTATCTCAACCTTCTCGGGGGCTAAAAACATCATCGCGACGCTTCAATATGTTTTTCCAAGCCATCGTCATTATTAAACGAGCGAGCGAGTAGAGCGTTTGTATACATTATTATGTACACTCATATACGTACATCTACGAGCGGGGGAAATACACACACACACACACACACGCTGTTACAGCTGGGCTGCGCACGCAAAACGGTTAAGATTAGCGCGCGCGTATACGTGCCTTATCCGAGTCAGCGCATCGGTACGATGATGCACAATGTGAGAGCTGGGAGGCGTTTGCGCCAACGCGTTTGCACACACACACGCGCACATTCTCGAGGTAGCAGCGGAGCTTTTGAGAGAGAAGCTGACTGCATTATGCAGAGCGGCGTGGAAGAGAGAACGATTCCGCAGAAATTCGGACTTGCGAGAATCAGCAGAATCTTTAGCTTACTTTGTCTATTGCGCGTGTACACGCTCGCGCGCACACACACGTACAAGTCACAAGGAGTACACATAGGTATATAATACAATATACATTCTCTCTCGGATCCTACCTTTCTCGGCTCCCTCTCGTTAATTGGAATTCCTGTTTGACGCTGTTTCGTAGAGTAGCTGCAACGAGCTGCGTTTGTCTTTCCTTTACAAGAGTACAGAGCGAGTACAGAGCGAGAGAGAGAGAGGAAGAGATGCGTACGTTGCAGATCGTTACAAGCCAGAAACGAGCGAGCGCAAGGAATTTCTCAATTCCATTAAATTTGCTAATTCACCAAATGGCTGAGACTCATTAGCAAGAGTGTATAGCGTGTCTCGCTCTCTCTTTCTCTCTACGACTTTTTATTACGTTTGCGCAGGTGAGCGCACGTGTCTCGAAAATTAACAATGCGGGGCGAATCTTTTTTCGTTCGATTTGTTATATTCATACATTCGATGACTCGTCGAGTTTCATTGATGAATCTGCCGCATCGCGAGTATTTTTTTTTTTTCATCGCGTGTCGACTCGCGAGAATATTTTCAACTAAATTTATAAACGATGTATTTTCAGGGTTTCCGGCTTTCGCGCGATCGTTTGACGCTCGCTTTAATTTTTTATATCTAGAACATTGAATCTCTGACTAGACGTCGCGCGAATAAAATAGAGAACGATCTTGACTGAGAGGTAGACGAGCTGCGAGCTCTCACTCATTCGCGCGCCAAGGAAATTGCATCACTGCGCCGAATGACATTAATACGATTATTTATGAAACTCCTCGATTGAGCAGAATTAACATAGCCAGCAGCAGCAGCGGCTATATGTATACGACGCCGAGGCTAAGCGGCGCGCCCGCGCGCACCATCCCCGCAGCGCCGGTAATATTTCAACGTTTTGCTCGCTCGCAAAGCTCCTCTTGGTTAATCCTAACCCAAGGTAAATAGGCAGTACACGTCTAAATCTCGAAAGAGAATGCATATGGAGCGAGGCTAGGCTACGTTCTCTAGCAGAGCTGAGAACTAAGTGCGCGCCGTACGGCGCGCGCGTGGCCGCTTCACGCCCGGGTGCTGCTGCTGCGGCGTATTCGCGTATATCCAAAAATCCGTGAACATTTAATTAAGGGCATTAGCCTGGCGCACATGCCTCAAAACTGAAACGCAGCGGCAGCAGCAGCAGCAGCAGCAGCACCCGGGCGCTGTCGTTATTTTAGGAAGCGTAAATGCAGTGCTCCTGCACAATCTCGACGCGCTCGCCTGTAATTCTCTCTCTCTCTCTCTCTCTTTAGCCCGTGCATAACGTATATATCTCAAAGTGCATTTGCGAGCTGCAGCACAAAAGATTCCGAGACAAGTGTAGGTACTCGCGGTTAAACGATGACGTATATATTTCTTTTTTCCTGTTTTTGCATAGAGACGCATTTGAACTTTAATTTTGCACCGAGGCAAGAAACGCGAAAATCATAAAAAACTTGAACCTCGGCCCGAGCGCAGGATTACACGTCGCGAAAAGTACCGAGAGAAATAGAGCAATTAGCAGCTGCAGCGAGCTTCGTGAGCAAGGGGAGTACAAGAGAGAAAAAAGGAATGAAAATAGATATCGCGAGTCTAATGATATAATGTCTTCACGATTTCATTCCTCGTGTCGTGTTACATAATGGGGCTGCGCGCGAAAAATGCTTTATACACCGCGGCAAAGGCTAGAGAAAGAACCGCAACACAATACACGCCAGGGTATAGGTATAACCCACCCACACACACAGACACAGACATTCACAGAGTCTTTAGCGCTCGACTCGGTATCCGAAGGCGTTATCCTCAGCTGTGCCGGCGGTGCTGCGGGCGGGTGGGCTGGCTCGAGCTCGCAGCGAAGAAAAGAAGCTCAGCTCTTCGTCTTGCTGTGTCGCGCATAAATCCCACTGTTATACCTCGTAAATTACTCCTCGCCACCACTACCGCTACCACCGCTGCACATACAGAGCACAGAGTGTGCAAGCTCTCTTTCTTTAACGCGCGAGCAGCAGCAGCAGCGGCGGCGGCGAATCTTTGTTGCAATTTATGTGGACGAGAGCGCTAAATCATTTCGCCGGTCGATGCGGCGGCGGCGCGCGGGCGGGCAATTTATAACAATTAAGCGCCTAACCTCTTCTTTCGTTTCCTCTCTGACGTCGGCTTGTTTGCTAACGGCTAACGTAACCACGTGTTCAACAACGTACAGCGCGTCGATCTCTCTCTCTTTCTTTCTCCGATGGGTGCCCATGTGCCCACCTCTGCTGGGCGAATAATATACATATATAAATGCGGGCAGAGAGAGAGAGAGAGAACGAAGGGGGGTTAGGTAAGATAGTGAAAAGAAAATTAAAGGGGGGAGAGAAAAGCTTAGAAAGAGGTTGAGAAGATAATGCGAGTCGCTGTGCTGTACCTATAGTAGTGCAGCCGCTGCACCCCCGTGTCGGTAATGCGCTTGACTTTTGCGAACGACCCGTAGCGCCTTGCCTTTCTCTCTCTCTCTCTCCTCGTCCTCCCTCTCACTTTCTCATTTTCGGTTTCCTTTGTTCGTATATAACTCTCTCTCTCTCTCGAGCACGGCTTCCACTACCACTACTTGGTTCGTTGCGAGCAGTCAATTATGCTTTCTTCGCGTGGCGTGGCGCGGCTGCCACCGCTGCCGTCACTGTTGCGCTCGTGCCAGGTGAGCTTTTTTTTCCATTTTTCAGCGCCGCAACTACTTCTACAACTACTACCATTCACACTCACGGCTAATGTTTGATATAAGTCGAGAGAGAGCGAGCGAGAAATTACGTTCAAGTTTTTTAAAACTTGTATAATTCCTTGCCACATTAGTGCGCGCCGTATAATCTCCAGTTTCTCGTATTTAAAATTTTGCATCTTGCTGATTAAATTTGAGGCAGTTCGTTAAAAACTCCGAGCGGCGCGCGAAACTTCGAGTAGATATGACGCTCGAAGTGAATGCAGCTTTTGATCGAAATGTTTTTTCGATAGATACAGCTATAAAAGATTGCATAATTAGAGGTTTCTGTTGGAAGTTTAAGATTTCGACATGAACGATGAATTGTGGTTTTTTTAAGCGTGAATGAATTCGTTTGAGCAAAACAAAAATTCAACTTTATCTGCGTGGCAAGAAACTTACCTGAAAATGTTTTATCAGCAGTTTAACGTATCATACGACGTAGTCCTGGTATATTATCTGCAACAAAAAATAAACTCTCGTGAATAATTATAAACTCATGCTCCCACCAAAATTATAACGCCGTTCATCACTTTTGCGTCCGGGCATAGATACAATTTCTCTGTGCATAGCCAGCACCTAAGCGGCTGCCGACTATACATCACGACAGCGACTAAACCAACTGCCGAAGCTGAATTTATTATACCTCGTGCTTGGGCGAACCTCAAGTGGTTAGGCGCGCGATGATCGTGTACACGGGCTCTCTCGTGGCCAGCGCCTAATAGAAACTCGCCGTGTGGGGCTGTGTATGTGTGTGTGTGTGTGTCATTTGCACGTCGAGTGTGTGTGTGAGAAATGCAAATCAGGATACAGCCGTCTTGTAGTTGGCGCCTCACGAAAGACGTGCTTTATATTTTTGACGCGCGGTATATATAACTACGAGTTTCAGTTTTCGTCCCGATATACACTTGCGCGACGCAACAACGTTTTGCTCTTAACGTTTTCATTATATAAATTTGTTTCCGCGGGCAAGAAAATTTCATGCGCCTTAGAATTATGAATTTTCCCCCGCAGCTTAATTACATTTATATCGTATATATACAGCAGGTCGCGCACGAATTCGGAAATTCATTCGCGCGCTCTCACAGCCAGCTCTCTTGGCAAAATGGTTATAGTCCGCGGTAATAAATTGTCGCGCGAGCGTGGCTTATCGCGCGCGGAGGCCGAATAAAATAATAACGCTTAATTAATCCAATTTGAAATTACGAGCGAGAATAGCGTGTATTATTATTCAAACGCCAAGGGGGGAAGCTCGCGATCACGCATACATATACGACATTGTGCTATACGTACGAGAGCCGAGGGACTTGAGGGATCTATAGCAGCCGTCGCCGTCGCTGCGTTCGATGTTATAGAGAGCTCGAGCTAATATGGATTGCACAGCCGATACGATTTGAATAAATAACGCTGGCACGTCTCAATTTTCTCGACGTCGATATTCGATAAATAATGCGCAAATTTAATGATACGCAAGCATCAATGAAAGATTCAGTCGCGATCAAAGATTGCGAGTACAAAGACTCCGGCTCGTATGTGCTTGGCTTTAATTAAATTTTATTATTTTATATTCGACATATCTTATTTGTAATCTAAAAAAAAAAAACTAAATTGATATGACGATTCTTTACGTTTTTAAATTTAAAAAGTATCACTGGCATGCGGAATATCACTCACTAAAAGTGGAGATAGTAGAACTCGACTTTGAATTCAACCTGCGCAGCTGGACCGAGAGCGAGTGACCGAAATACCGATATGACGAGCTAGCATATTAGCACCCGTAGCAGCAGCAGCAGCAGAAGCAGTGTCGAAGTCACGAATTTTCTCCTCTCGGCTATGATATAACTATATAGCCACCACGTGTGTAGACTGTGTGCCATCTCTCGCGCGCACACACATATACCAGCCCCCAAAGTCCCCAGGATTTTGCGCGCATGATGCTCTAAGCTTTCAAGACACACCAAAGCTTATAATAGCGGCGATGGCTGTGGTGGTGGTGGCTGCTGCGCTCACACGCGTCGGAGCCCGAGATATCGTAAAATTAGTTGAAACGGAACTTTATGGCTCTAACCCGTTATTTATGGCTGCAAAATCGCGAGCTTTCAGCCTAGCTCCGCAGCGTATAATAATAACGACTTAGCCTCTGTATGCTCGCAAGCTTCTGTGTGTGCGCGTGTATAATGCAACACGTAAAATCTGAGCGACGACGAAGCTCGTCGCTTTATACACGTTATATTTTTTAAATAAGGATACGCGCTCGTGTGGTCGTGAATTTTCTCATTCAATCGGATACACGTAGTTCGGATATATATCGAGCAGCGGGGGTATTTTTTTCACGTCCCTCGCGACCTCGCTTATATCGGCCCGGTCAAAGTCAATATAACGACTATTTCAAGGATTTTGCTGCAGCTCTCGTTGTACACCTATACGTATATCTACACCAAGCGCGCGACGTCATTGGAATTTTGCCGCGCGCGTCGTCCCGTGCGACTGTGTTATACCAAGCCACGCCGCAAGTTTCTTCACCTTCGTACAGCGAGAGAGAGAGAGAGAGAGAGAGAGAGAGAGAGAGTCGAGTCCCCAGTGGTCGAGTGCTGCTGCTGCTGCTATCGCGCGCGCGAGGCGCTGTGTATCAAACTCGTTTCGCTTCTCTTACTTCGCTTGCGCTGCTGCTGCTGCGGCACAAACTTATGTCTCCGATAGTTAACCCCAATAAATAAATCCCCGAGCTGGTGCGACGCGCGTCTTCGTGGAACACAGCTGCTGCTGCTGCTGCGCAGTTCTATCTCTATTAGCGCATCTCTCGCGCGGAGACAATTATATATACGGCGTATATAAGGTACCGTTGAGAAAAATAAAACCACGCCAGAGCTCTATCTGTAACTCGTGGTTAATTTAAGAGTGCTAAGGACGTTATTTGTTACGCTTACAACTTTGTGTGCGCGGGGTGGGGAGAAGGAAATTTACATCGTAATTTATTATCGCGCGATTCGTCGTGTGAATTAACTGTTGGGGAATATTTAAAACCGAATTAATAAAGGGAAAAGGACGAGCTTGGCAATTTGTTCAATTTAATTAATCATCCTTCGCGATCGTGTAAAGACTGCACGTTAAGTACGTTAAGTATTGCGGCTTGGTATAAAAGTATCGAAAAGCACACACATCAAGTGTGCTAGTACGTAAGAGAGAAAGACCGTCGCGAGGTCCCTTCGGTACGTGCATTACTTTCTATAAACTTCGGATCTGTATATATTGGCTGATAAAGTTTCGTTCGCGCGCGTGCGAGGCGACACTTTTTCCCCTCGCAGTCCTTATATAATATAAACTTGAAGAATTCGCCCATATATATGTGTGCGTATCGACACCGATATACCAAAGTATTATTATTGTTTTCGAAACTTAAATTCCAACGTAAAATATTCCTCTCCGGTATATGTACACAACGGCAACAACGTTCATTCGCGCGCGTACGCCTTGCCTGTGTGCGTGCGCGCGTGTGTGTTTACGATACGTACAACGCGCATGATGTTCAGATAAATGTATGATTTACTAGCTATTAGATCGGCTGCGCGTGATACATATACCGAATTCACGATCACGCTCTGCATATAAACACAAATTTATACATACGTATCGTATATACGCGCCGCTGCTGTATACACGTATAAATGTAGCGCGCGCATTTGCGCCCGTGTATATATATTTGCAAGCTCGAGCTACGTAACGTGTAACGCAACGCAACGCAGTGCCCGTGAGCCATATACGCTATACGAATACGTTTCAACTGTTTAATGCCATAAACTTCCGAGAGAGAGAGAGAGAGAGAGAGAGAGAGAGAGAGAGAGAGAGAGAGAGNAGAGAGAGAGAGAGAGAGAGAGAGAGAGAGAGAGAGAGAGAGAGAGAGAGAGAGAGAGAGAGAGAGAGAGAGAGAGAGAGAGAGAGAGAGAGAGAGAGAGAGAGAGAGAGAGAGAGAGAGAGAGAGAGAGAGAGAGAGAGAGAGAGAGAGAGAGAGAGAGAGAGAGAGAGAGAGAGAGAGAGAGAGAGAGAGAGAGAGAGAGAGAGCGAAACATCTACTTTACATTATGAAATAAAAAAGAGGGAAAGAGTAAATTAAAATGAGCGTTTGAAATTTGAACGTGTACACATAATCAAAAGAGTAGCTAAAATAAAAATAAAATAAAAAACTACGACGACACTTATGCATTTTAATGAAACGTTTAATCGAGTTTTCGGTACGTCGCTCGAGCGTGGCTGGCTAAAAAAAAAAAAAAAGAAAAAAAGTGTACAGAAAGTTTGTAACTCGCATCAATAAAGTAATTAATTTTTTTTCGCCGCTGCGTCGCGAAAATTTTCATTAGTAGTTAGCCACCAGTTCAGCACTACGCAGCAGCAGCAGTAGCAGCATGAACGTGTTATAGACTTGTCCGCTTAACACATTTATACATATATACGTACGTGCAAAAAAAAATATTGCGCATCCATATCACGTAATTCTCTCTCTCGCTCTCTCGTGCGGTGAACCCCGTGTGAAAAACGAGCCTCCGGCGCGGCGCGCGCGACGAGGCTTCGCGGCGCTATATATTATATACATTCCCAGTCAATTTCTATCTTGTCTCGGGCGATAAATCTTCGTTCGGCCGAGTGACTCCGTGACTTTCTTCCTCTTCTTCCTCTTCTTCTTCTTTTTTTTCGCTATCTTCTTTTAATCCTGCTTTGGTTGCCCTCGAACTCTCCTGTAGCCTCCACCCCCGATCGTAGTCGTCGTCGTCATGGGTATATCTCTGTGCGCGCAGGATGAATTCGTAAGAACGAGAAAACGATATTATTTAATATTTCCTCGGGGCAGAATTGAGAATTAAAAGTGTCGCTGCGGCGGTGTCAGAATATAGGATATATTTGAGAAAACTAGACTGCAATGACAGGTCTGACTTTTCGTTTTATTTACTCGGCCAATCGACTCTGTGAAACACGCCAACCAGACGAAACTTTTTTTACCTCGCAGTATCCGATGGACTTTTAATGATTAATAAACACGTTTAATCACGTTAAGATGAAAAAAAAAAACTAGTAAAATTTATTTGACAGGTTCGAGCTTTTCTCGAGCTTGCACAGTCAACGAAGAAAAAAAAAACGGATCTATAATCGCGAACAATATGTTCAGCGACAAGACTCTCGTTGTGAAATTATACCGCAGCTCTCGCAATAACGCACGTTGTGGTTTCTGCTGCTGCTGCTGGTGCATCGAGCTGCTCGCGAGCTAGCCGAGAAAGACAGTGTACCACTATGTGTGTGCGGGTGCTGTACGTACCCGGGCAATGGTATATAACTGCGCAGCAGCGGCAGCAGCGAAGCTGGCGCGCGGAGTTTCCAGTTTTAGATTAGAGATACTAGATGTATCTAATGGTCTTATTAGACTTGGCAAGCGCGTGGAAAGTGGCCTCGCTTACATTACACACACACAT